AGATTTAATACTCATTTTGGTTTTGGTTTTGTTTTGACATTCTTGAGTTTATTTGGACAGACCTGGGGTGAGAGGGCCCAACACCTAGAAGAAGGGGTTGGGTCTTGGCGGTGAAGCTTGGCTTGTGCTGGCGACACAGGACGCCATGAGGCAGCAGGAATTCTGTCTTGGAGTTGCAGAATTGCTTGGCTGCTGGCCGGCAGCCGTTGGTGGTCACAGTGTTTTCTGCCTTCATGATCTGCATTGAGTGGGCCCAGGAATAGTACCCAGTGCCCATGTCTTGGTCTGAAGAAAACAGGAGGCAGGGTGACCACATTCACCAGGATTTGGGCATTTGACCAACCTCCTATCAAGTATCTGGCACATCCTGTTTGGTACAGTAATTGCCTGGGGACCACAACTGGGGGCTGACTTGGGGACTGAGTGGCTGCAGTCTGTGGCCCCAGCAGCCACTCCTACATATTTTATGATACCATTTTATGCACAAATATCACCACTAATGTTTTAAAATATTTACTTTTGGTTATTTTGTATTAATCATGATTTATTCATTCAACAAATATTTATTGAATGCCTGCTATACACTAGGCTCTTGGGATATTGTGATGAATTTAGAAGTTTAAAACATAAATGGGCCAGGTTCAATAGCTTACACCTATAATCCTAGCACTTTGGGAGGCCAAAGGGGAAGAATTAATTGAAGCCAGGAGTTCAAGACCAGCCTGGGCAAAATAACAAGACCTCATCTTAAAAAAAAAAAAAAAAAAATGTTTAAAAGCCAGGCATGGTGGACCTATAGTCCTAGCTACTCGGGAGACTGAAGCAGGAAGATCACTTGAGGGGTCAGCAGTTCAAGGTTGCAATTATCTATGATCATGCCACTGCACTTCAGGCTGGGCAACAGAGTGACTCTCTCTAAAAAATAATAAAAACAAATGGTGCCTAAGTTTTCATATATAAATATATAATATATAAAAATATATTACTAGAATATATATGTTTAGTAGTTTATTTCACTTTGATTGCATGTTAATTTTTAAGAACTCCTAAAATTTCTACAATTAATTCAATGATTTGGGAAAAGTTTTGAAGTTGTTTAAATCTTCAGTTTCTTTTTAGAACATTACATATTACTGTAGGGTAAATTATTATAAAATGCAGGAAAAAAAACCCACAAATGAATGTGAAGACAAATTTTTAATTTGTGATTATCGAAGTGGAAAAAATCTTGACAATAATTTTAAAATGAGTAGTGAAATATGTAAGTTCACAAAAAAGTATTTGGTACCTTTATCATTTATGTTTTAAGATGTAGCTTAACATTTATTACTTAACCATCCACTTTTTCTTTCTCTTCCTTGGTGTATTCTGACTTCCTAGATTTTATCTTATTTTTCTTTCCTCCTAAATATATTCTCCCTTTGGACAAAACTGTGGGTGGTCCTCAGAGCTGATCCCCAATTCCCAGATCAGTAATTTTGTTTTAAGTTTTATTTTGTATAGAAAAAAAAAATGAGTTGAAAGCTGTATATGCTTCCATCTGAGGTCTTCAGCGGGAAAACTATGAATTTAGTCTGGCTGCCAGCGCAGCACTGGGGGTCTGCTGGAAAAAAAGAACATGTAGCCTCTTGGGACCTTCCATCGAGTGTGGCCGCTGTAGAACCTGCCTTATTGCTTAGTTTTAGTTGTCATCGAAAACTTCCAGCAAGAATGGTTCCTGTTTGACTTTTCCCCCAAGTGGAAAAATACTAGACACTGTCTAAGTAGACCAAAGAGACTGAAAAGCCTGGATAGACTGAATGATGGTAGAGAAAGGAAGGAAGGAAAATCTTAATAGAAAAGAAGTGGAAAGAAAATTTTGCAATTGTTAAAAGAACATAAAAATGCCTTGGGCTTCAGGCAGAAGGAATAGTTATTTTTTTGTGAAGCCCACTGGTTTCCTCTACCCTGTATTTCTAGCCCACATCACCCCTCATCCTGACTCCTGCAGTCTTCCTGCCTCTCCACGTCCTCTTACTCTTTGTCAGCACACTGCTTGCCTGCTGGGAAGGTATCAGTGACTATCCACTAATTCCTGCATAAAGTTCAAATTCCTTAGTTTAGTAAATCAGTGCCAGCCACAATCTAAATCTTTGTATTTAACCTTATCCCCCAACCCGTTTTTCCATGTTCCCTTTTCTCTGGCCAATTGGGATGATTAACCTTGTCCTGAGCATGCATACTACTTTGCATATCTCACATTGTCTTTTTGGCATGGGAAGGAACTGTTATCTTTGCCAGTTGAAATCCTACCCAAACTCTGAGACCCAGCTGCTGCCTGATGTTTTCTTAATCACAGCAACCTGAAACAGGCCCTTCCTTATCTGGACTACTATGTGACTGCTCCTCTCCTTTCCTGACTGCCTCATGTTAGTTATTTGTTCTTACCTTATTTTCCCTGTAAGATCATAAGCTCTTTGCGGGGCAGAGAGCACATCTCTTCCTCTGTATTTCCTCCATAGTGCCTAGCATATTGCCTTCCTTATAGTACTTGAGTAATGAAAATATATTGGGTGATGATAGAAATCTGATGTGAATCAGGTAGTCTAACACAAATCTCATATTTTTGTGGCTGATTTTATGCTTCTTTTTGTATAGAAATAAAAATAGGTATGCAAGTATTTGTTACTAAATGGAGACTTACAGTACCTACAGCAGTGAAATTTAGTCAGTGGGTCCAACAATAACAAAACCTCTCACCTTAACTAGGTGTCTGTGGGTATCTGAGCACTCACTGCCATCCAGTACCCAAATCCAATGCCACAGGTTCCCAGGCAGGGGTGATTACACCTTTGGAAGGAGGGCTGAAGTACCGCTAGGCCTCCTGAATTTCTTTTTGTTGATTTCTCTCTTAAGAATGTAGTTCTTTCCTAATGAATTATATGCATCTAATTGCCAATGATATTTAGATGTTTTTTAACAGTAGACCAAACATTACAAATGTTCCATTGGTGATGCATGTGAGAAGAAGTATTACAAATGTTTTTCTCCCACTTAATTTTCCTGTGTGAACTAAATCTAAACATATCTAAATTTTCATAATTCAAAGAAAATATCTGTGCCAACATTCTGAGAACAAATAGCTGCCAAGCAAAACCTGACAGCATATTCCTTGGTGACATTCAGTCCTTAAAAGCTGTGTGCACAGAGTGAGCAGCTATCTAAAACTGAGCTCATATGCAAATGTGAACATTCTTCAATTAAAATTACATTGTGTGCATTTAAACTTTCTCTAGAGTCTATGAAATGTTCAGGAAAAATATAACTGAGTTTAATCTTAGGTACCTTGCCTCATTTTTTTTTTTTTTGTCATTTTCAGCTACTAGCCTGTCCAAAGAAAACAACTTTCTTATTTCTTTTAGTTTCGTGTGTACCCTGAGCTTGATTCCCAATTGCTGCTATAAAAAACTGAAATGGTTCAAACACTGCTATTTTTCTTTTTTTCTCTGTTACTAATACTTAAATATCAAAGATATGCTGGTACTTTTATGTTGTAGAGTATATATAAGGCCATATTTTCCCTAAAGGTATTTGCTATCCATGGGTGTGTGTGTGTGTGTGTGTGTGTGTGTGTGTGTGTGTGCTTGTACATGTGTGTTTTCTTAGCTGTTAGCCTTTTTTAGAAGTCACCTAACTCATAGCCTTTTACTATCACAGGATCACTGGCAGTGTGGAGGAAGAACTGAAGTGAGGCCATATTAGCAAGGAGATGAGTTAGGAGAATTTTTTTTTTTTAATAATGTATTCAGATTTTTTTTAAAAGCCCTATCTTAACATCAAAAATGTATGTTGTGATGACCTTGGGAAATTTTTAAATTTAAGCATGTTATCGCGACTCCTCCTAACACTGAAACTAAAAAATAATCTGCTTCCACCAAGATGTTTAATATTATTGCAATTTCCATGTAAATCCTTAATGTATTTATTATAGGGGCCTTTTAAGACAGTCTTACAGGATGTTTTCAAAGTTTTATTCTGTTTACTAATTGTGAGTTTTTCATGAGATTTACCTTGAGTTAGCTCTGTTTAAAAATTATATGTGATGTGAAGGAAATCTTTAAATTGTTTGCATATGATGTAAATATATTTTTCTTAAAATGTCAGTTTTCTTTCCTTGTACTTAAAAATCATAGAACATTGTTTTCATTTAAACCTGTTTCCTAAAGTAGTACTAATTATTATATAATTTTTGGAATACTCATGTGGTTAAACTGATTTTCTTAGCTGCAGTTAGTGGGTAAGAGTAGAAATGGGACATATTTGAATGACCACACAACAAATCCAAATATGACCAGATGTGGCAATGCTACATGAATAAATATAAATATGTATCAGGAAACTCAATTGGTAAAAGTTGCAAAAGTATATAACTAAAAAATAGAACAGATACATCATATCTTACATTTTAAATGTTGAGGGTATTTCTAATTTGACGTATCTGTGATCTCAGAAGGAGAGTATATTAAATGAATTGCATCTTCAAATTGCTATTTTGTTCTTTATCAGAAGAAAAATATAAGGCATGGCAGTTTATGGTTAAAAAAACAAACAAAAACAAAAACACAAACTAAATTTAGCTTTAATTATTGTCTAGCCATAAGAAGGAATAAACTATCAGCCAATACCAAGATTCTTTGATCTCACATTTCAACCTTTTTGTCCTCCAGATGAATGAAATGGTCTTTTCTCAAATGTTCAGCAGGCCTTTTACCATTTGATAGGACAATTATTTTTAAGAAGGTTTAAAATGTGATCTGAAAAACCACATTGACTCTATGTGGCATATTTGCTATTCTTAGCCTGGTGGAATAAGCTGAAAGTGGATGAATAATGCAGGTTAGAAAGAAAACAGATGCTGAATATTACAAATGGAAAGGTTTTCCAGCAATGAGACTTTCATTTTAGGACGAGATTTTTGTTGGCATGTTTGGCATTATGACGATTATTGTTTTTCTCTCCAGCTGTTACACATCTGTATTGAAGGTTGGGGCAACTGGCGTTGGTCAGAGCCTTTCAGTGTGGACCATGCTGGGACTTTTATTAGAACAATTCAGTACAAGGGTCGAACTGCTTCTCTCATCATCAAGGTTCAGCAACTCAATGGAGTACAAAAACAGGTATGTTTCTTTGTGTTCATGACGCAGACACCTCTTAATTATACAGTGTAATGGAGATGAGACCTAAATGAAAATAATTAATAACTTTTTAAAAATCACAGTGGTTATGCCTAGTTATACTTACTACTACCATGCATGTGAGCACTTAATAAATGCTTGTCTAAGATCCTGACAATGATGATGGCTTCAAACCCTTTGTCCCACTTCTTTTACAAGAGCTGCTAACGAGCAGTAAAATTTACTGATTTTAGTTTCACCTCTTCTCCCTGTCACCACCTACCTTCTAGTGGAGGTGCTAATGAGCTGTGAAATAGCCAAAAGTCCTTTATTGAGAAGGAAAAGCAGCAAAGAGTAGTGGGAACCCTGGATAATCCACCAGCGGATAACCAAGAGTTGGTTCTCATGCACGTGAGAACGATCTGTGAAGAAGTGCTGTGATATTCTCCCATGACAGAGTGGGCCTGGGTCTCCAGCAAGCTTTTCTTTTCCTAGGAGTTAATATGAACTGCAGTAAAAATTCACTGCAGCCTAACTCTTGGCATATAAAACCTTAGCTCTCAGCACATATTTTTATGTATTTTATAAAACTTCCTTTTGGCTGTTTTTGAAGTTCTAAGACTGTAAAGGGAAAAAAAAGTATCTGACACTTTTTTTGTGTTCTTAAGATGTGGAAATGTGGTTTCTAGAGATGTTTTTCAAGCATGGAGCATATGACAAGAGTAGAAAGAAAAAAAGGAAGTATTAAAATCTGAAATCTGGCTTCCCTGCACACATAACAACTGGGTTTGTCATAAGAGTTTCAACATATACGTCTACGTCTGGATTGTAACAGTCTATCCAGAGCTTATGTGAACTGAGGACATGATAGAAACAGCACTTAGTCTCTGGAAAAGGAGAGCTTCCCCTATGGAGCAGCAGGAGCTATTCTGTTGGTGCATGCCAAGGAGGAAACAGGAAGCTACTAGAGAGATGAACAGTAGGACCCACACCATATGCATTCTTGGTCTGCACCTAACCAAGGAGCTGGACTTGATGATCTTATTATTGTGGGCCACAGAAATAAAAAGAACTGTAGCAGAGGAGTCTCAGAAAAGATACGTGGAAGATCCTTCCCAATTAACTGAGCATTCCTCAGAATATTTATTGATTGCCTACAGTGGAAAAAGGTAAAATGCAAAACACCAAGTATGTGATACAACCTTTGCTTTTAAATTGCAATTTTATGTAAGCCCAACAGTGTATATAACTGACCGTAAGTATAAAGGGAATTTAGAGGTTTCACTGAGAAGATATGACTTGAGCTGGGCTTTGGAAAATATTGTAGAATTTGGATTAAGAGACAGCATTTCAAGTAGACTGTATAGCATAAATAAAGAGACAAACATGGGACAAATGAGTCTTACTAAAGGATTCCTGCGGGGACTGGCCTGCTAGTGTGAGCACTGAGCCAAAGAGTCATAAGAGCAAGAAGTGTCACTAACTCCCATCTGCCCTCAGAACATTCTTACGTGAATTTGCTCTCAGTGACTATCTGCCCAGTAAGTATATACTGGTTTTCTGATTCTGTCACTCATGGTCTTTCAAGAATGTCTTATCCACCTTCTCATTCAATATCATGTCTGAGAAAAGGTCATCCAACCTCTTCGAATAGTTCAGCTGACATGAGGTGCATTCCCTCACACAACAGCCCTTTCTGTTGTTGGCTACTACAAGCTAAGTTTTTTTTCCTAATTTTAAACCAAAAATCTTTCACCATTCCACCACCTTTCTCCATTCCCTAGAACTGTGAGGCATATGCAACAAGCACAAAACTTGTGAGGACTCCACAAGTCACCTCTCCTCTACATTATGGCCGTTCAAAAACATAAGGGAAGCTAGCATGTTTCCCTTTGGTTTCCTTCTCCCTAGGCCTTTTCAAATTTGAGTTTGCATCAAGAATCCCCTGGAGGGCTTGTTAAAACACAAATTGCTGGGTCCCAACCCCAGAGTTTCAGATTGGGTGTGGCCTGTAATTTGCATTTCTCACAAGTTCCCAGGTGCTGCCAATGCTGCTGGTTTGGGACCACAATTTGACTACCATAGCTCCAGTCTAAACTTTCCCAGGTGGCTCAGCTCTTTTTAGTGTGGCTGCTGGAACATTTACCAGTTACCGAAATGGCAGGGTCCCTCCATACAGAAATTGTTTCAATGGTATATCCTGATAGTTAAGATCATAGGCAACTTGACTCTGTTCCCTTGCTAGCTGTGTGATCTTCAGTAAGTCATTTAAACTTTGTGAATCAATTTCCTCATCTGTAAAATGGGGATAGTAATAGTGCCTTCCTCAAGAAGTTAGTGTGAGGATTAACTGAGTTTGTTTATATAAAATGCTTACAACGTGCCTGCCCTCCTGCCATAGCCCAAAACACTGTACTTCCAATTATTCTAATGAAATCTTATTAGGCATGAGTAACACTAGTTGGACTTTTTTGTGTTGTAACAATAGTGCCTCATTCTTGTATAGATACTATGTATTTTCAAGAAACAATGTTAAATTTCAGGGATAAATTAATATATACAGTGTTCCTGGACAGATATTACACATTGCAACAGTATACCTACCAAATGTCATAAAAGTTGGTTATTTGAAAAATACATTTCTAAAAAATTCTCATAGTTTTACCTCTCCCCTCCCCCCTCACGCACTCAGGTACACACACCCACAAGCAAAATTGTTAAACGTCTTTTTCAATTGGATGTAATTTTTGCTGTCAGGGTAGTTTAGCGTTCAGATTTGCTCTGGTTAAAGTACATCAGAGACATAGGATTTCCTCAATTGGCAAGGTTAGGAAGGAAGAAGGGAACTAAGCTTCAGAAGAGCTTTGTGGATTCTTGCCTCCCTCACATCTTGGCTTCTTTCCTTCTACCCCACCTGGGCCTGGAAATTTGCAATAAACTGCAGCTGCCTAATTACCAAGGCCTATTTGGGGAGGTGAGTGTATGTAGATCCCTGATGTACCTTAACCACACTGAATGTATGCAGATCCGAGATGTACCTTATTGCCCCTGGATAATGGAGAATTGCTAAAGCTCTTTTTTAATATTGATGTTGGGTTATCTGTGCTTTGTCTTTCCTGTACCCCTTTCATTTCCCCAATTGAATGAAAATTGACCACAGAAAGTTTCGTAGAAACTTTGTATGTTCTGCTACTACTCAGGTACACCTATTTGCTTCCATGTTTCCCATCCTTTTGTTGAAGAAAGCTTTACTACTCTAAAATCTCAAATGTACGTATGTATGTATGTATAATGGTGTCTTTATACACATACTTTTAATCATGGATATCATTTTTCAGTGCATCTGGTGCTCTGGAGTTATTCTTTAATATCACTATTCTTCTTGGCACTGATCTAATAAGAGTTCTGAAACCTGCTAAGTAAAATCATATGTGGAAATCTTCAATACACATCTTTGTGGCTTTGGGGAAGGAGGGGAATTAGTGTGAAACCTGGAAATGTGTATTAAAGAGAAACTGTGCATTTAAAAAATTAAGTAGCTGTCTTCCACTGATAAATTAATCTTGAAATTCTAACGATAATTTTCAAAATAAAGGCATTGTAAGTTTTGCCACTTTGAAGAAAAGCAGATATAAGTCTCCTGAACCTGGCCCCGGAGCAGCCGTGAAAGCACGCAACTCCACTTGAGTGGCCATTTTTGGATTTTCCTTCATTTAAAGTGGCCTTCCCTCCCTGGCCAGTTTTAAGAATTTTCTTTTTATCAAATTTGAAAGCCTATTTAACAGGCTTTTTAGTTGAAAATGAGACTATAAAAACCCACCAAGAGGATCTTTGTCTTTAAACAAAGTGAGTCCCAGATGGTTGTAGAGATTCTGTGGTTTCTGTGAGAGACAGCAAAATTCTCTTCTAAATCTCCTGGGGTCCAAAGGTTCTGAAGCAAGAGCCATGTGCATATATTGCCAGGCCCGGGCACATCAAGAATAACAGAGTTAAATACTGCTTCAGAGTTTTCAAATGTTTATTTAAAGTTAGGCAATGCTATGGCATCATAAGACTTATCATGAGTGTCTAGTAACCCCTAGAATATGCTAAAGAAAAGTTTGCTTCCTAATTTAGGACCATAGTTCAGTTGACTTTTATGGTTTGTTATTGTGAAAACATAGTTTTAAAAGATTATAATGGCTGGAGTATCTAGGGGAAATATAACAGTTAAGCACAGGTTGGCTTTACAGATGTGCTCCTTCTAAAGAAAATTCAAATAAGCAGATAGCTGAGAAATAGATGTTTCAGAAAAAGCTAAACCTCACCATTCAAATAATGCAAATTAAAACAACAGAGGCAGTTAATTTTTGGTTCCTCAATCTAGCAGGTTTCTTTTGGTTAAATAATAGTGTAGCCCAGTGTAGTGGCTCGTGCCTATGATCCCAGCACTTTTGGAAGCTGAGGCAGGAGAATCACTTGAGCTCAGGGATTCAAGACTAGCCTGGTCAACACAGCGAGACCCCATCTCTACAAAAAATAGAATAAATTAGCCATGCATGGTGGCATGTGCCTGTATCCAAGCTACTCGTGAGGCAAGAGGATCCCTTGAGCCCAGGAGTTCAAGGCTGCAGTAAGCTGAAATCTTGCCACTGCACTGTACACTGGGTGATGGAGCAAGACCCCCATCTAAAAATAGTGATGATAATAGTTCATTTGTAAATAGTTATTCATAATTATTTGTGTAAATAATAGTTCATTAAAATTGATGGTTACAGAGAACTCTTGGTGACATAGAAAAATGTATCAATTAGGATGCTTTCAGTTTGAAGTTACAAAATATGCTTGTTAATCTTCATAGCAAGTTAATGAGGCAGATACTGTTCTTTCTGTTTTATGTTTATTGTTTCACCTAACAGGGAGGAAGAAGGCTGGTTCAATATTGGCTAACCAAGCAACTCAGTGTTGTATTTCCTTCTCTGTCATTCTCTTGGATTTGCCTGCCTGGTCTCAGATGGCAGTAAAAGCGGTATACATCCTCTGATAACAGCTTCCGTGACAGAAAAGACAGGCTGCCCTTCTCAAATTGTCTCCCTTATTATCAAGGAATAGTATCTTTCCCAGAGCCTTTTACCAGTCTTCTTCTCATATTATTGGCCAAAATAAAGTTCCATGTTTACTCTAATCAGTGGCAAAAGGAGAATGGAATTAACAGGATTGGCTTATACCAATCATAATACAGCCACTGGGGGCCAAAGGAGGTGTCTACCTTCCCTGAGTTTTTGCTGCCTTTTGATACCTAACCAAATCAAATGAGGGTTTTTAAAATAAGAGAAAGGAGAGAACAGCTATTGGGAAGGGAAGCAATGGTGTGTGACATATTTATGTTATAATGAGGAGCCTTTATTTTCTGTTTTATAGCTTATAAGTTTTCTTAATAAGTAGATATTAATTTTATGAGAGACAGACTATCAGGGTGATAATCAACAGACTCTGATATTTAATAACACCAAGCAAGTTATTAAATATCTCTGTGCGTACATTTTCTCTCTGTTAAGATGGGGAATCATAGTAGCACCTACTTTATAAGGTTGCTATGAGAATGTGTTCTCCAGAAAAACAGCACTAATGAGGGTATGTGTGTGTGCACATGCATGGGTGTGTGGAAAAAGAATGATTTATTATAAATTGACTCATGATTATGAAACATGTGACATAATCTTAGAGAAGTCCCAAGATCTGCAGTCAGCAAGCTGCACACCCAGGAGAGCCAACGTGTAGCTCCCATCTGAGTGCAAAGGCCTGAGAACCAAAAGAGCCAATGGTGTAAGTTCCAGTTCAAAATCTGGCAAGTTCAAGACCCAAAAAGAGCTGATGCTTCATCCCAAGTCCAAAGGCCAGAAACGACCAATGCTCTAGCTCAAGCAGTAAGGCAAAATGAGTTTCTTCTTACTGAAACTTTTCCTTCTACTAGGTCTTCATTTGGTTTGATGATGCCTATCCATGTTGGGGAGGACAATCTGCCTTACTTAGTCTACCACTTCAAATGTTCATCTCACTCAGAAACACCCTCACAGACACACCCGGAATAATGTTTGACTAAATGTCTGGTCATACCATGACCAGTCAAGTTGACATAATAAAATTAAACATCATATGCTTAGACCTGTACATACATTGTGTGTGTGTGTGTGTGTGTGTGTGTGTGTGTGTGTGTGTGTATGTGTGTGTGTGTCTTTGTATGTTATAATCTGGAAAAATATTACAGACAGGAAATTCAGTATATGAAAGTCCTATTTTCTCCAATTATGGTGAATATTCATATTACGGAAGAATTTGCTTTCTGAAAGAATTCACCATATTAAATTTTGTATTACCTTTCCAATTTCAACCAATTTAAGAAAACATTTGTCTTGATGTTTTTTATAGAGACAGAGTCTTGCTCTGTCACTGAGGATGGAATACAGTGGTGCAATTATAGTTCACTGCAGCCTTAGACTCCTGGGCTCATGTGATACTCCTGCCTCAGCCTCCCAGGTAGCTAGGGCAATAGGCATATACCACCATACCTAGCTAATGTTTAAATTTTTTGTATAGATAGGATCTTGCCATGTTCCCCAGGCTGGTCTCAAACTTTTAATCTTGGCCTCACAAAGCACTGAGACATAAGTCTCCATACCAGGCCCCATTTTTTTTTCTTTTGGGATAGAGTTTCACTCTTGTTGCCCAGGCTGGAGTGCAGTGGTGCGACCTTGGCTCACCACAACCTCCGCCTCCCAGGTTCAAGTGATTATCCTGTCTCAGCCTCCCGAGTAGCTGGAATTACAGGCGTGTGCCACCACACCCAGCTAATTTTGTATTTTTAGTAGAGATGAGATTTCACCATGTTGGCCAGGCTGGTCTCAAACTCCCGACCTCAGGTGATCTGCCGACCCCTGCCTCCCAAAGTGCTGAGTTTATAGGCATGAGCCACTGTACCGGGCCAAGGCTCCCATTTCTTAATACCTACTATGAACTATACCCTTACCTGGGTGTAAAGTTGAATAAACCATAGGTTTAGTGGATAATTCTGTGTGTTTATAAAGATAAAACTTATCCAGTATAGGCTGGTCACAATAGCTCATACTTGTAATCTCAGTATTTTGGGAGGCTGGGGTGTGAAGATTGCTTGAGCCCAGGAGTTTGCGACCAGCCTAGGCAACATTGTAAAACCCCATCCTACAAAAAACACAAAAATTAGCCAGGTGGGGTGGTGCATTCCCTGTAGACCCAGCTACTCAGGAGGCTGAGATGGGAGGATTGCTTGAGCCTGGTAAATTGAGACTGCATTGAGCTGTGTCATGCCACTTCACTCCAGCCTGGGTGAAAGAGCAAGACCCTGTCTAAAAAAACTAAGCAAACTGAATAAATTTTTTAAAAATGAGATATCTGTGTTAAAGATTATTTGTATTATCTGTTTATAGAGAGATTTCTTACTGGGTAAGAGTGCAATAAACCCTTGAAAATCAACTTCGAGGAACAGATTGATCACAATTGCCCTCTCAGTTACCAGAGCTAAATGATTGTTTTGAATTTCCAATCTTTTCAATTTCTGCATCACTTGACAAGATTCTCTGGGCAGGCATTTCTCTTATGGCTTCAGCAAAACTACTGTCTCCTGATTCACCTCGTTTCTCCTTCACCCCTTCTTCTCTGGCACCGTTTTCTAGCTTCTCAACCTAAGTCTGCCCTGGAATATGGTCAGTTTCTGGGTTTGAGCTTCCACCCTCTCTTCCAGGTAAACTGTCTTCTGTTTGTGCATATTTGCAAGGCTCTTCTTTCGCAAATCATGATCTCCACCTGCACATTTTCTCTCAAGCACCAGACCAACATTTCTAGTTGAGGACTGGACTCCTCCTACATGTCTGTTCTCTAAATACTGCAAACTCAACATGGCCAAAGCAAAATTTCTTCTTGACTTCAGGTCTTTTTTTCCTTCTTGTTCTGTTTAAGCTAATTACTTCATTTTCTGTCCATTAACATCAACATAGTTTACTCTGTTTGAATGATAACATATTTCCATCTAATGAAGTCTGAATTGATGAATTTGCTTAGTTTTTTTTTTTTTTAATAATGGCTTTTTTCCTATAACTTACTATCTTTTAGATTATCATCTGTGGAAGACAGATCATCTGTAGTTACTTGTCTCAAAGCATAGAACTAAAAGTCGTTCAGCATTACATTGGTCAAGATGGGCAAGCTGTAGTTCGAGAACATTTTGACTGCCTCACAGCCAAACAGAAATTGCCTTCATACATACTAGAAAATAGTGAGCTGACAGAGCTGTGTGTGAAGGCCAAAGGAGATGAAGACTGGTCAAGAGATGTGTGCCTGGAATCCAAAGCCCCCGAGTACAGCGTTGTCATTCAGGTATGAGAAGAAGTTCAATCTAGAATGGAGCACCTTTCACAATGAAATTTTCTCAAAATGTTCTTTACTTGTACAGCACTTAATTTATTAAAAAGTGATATATACAAAAGGAGGGAGATCTGAAACAATACAGAAAGGCTTTGAATGGTACTTCTCAAACTGTTTCCTCCCCATCCCATGACAATACATTTGTATCAGTTCCAGTAGTTCTTACAGCCAAGACGCTGTCCCTGCGAGATGCAAGTGATATCTTGAAAAAGATTCTGATGCCCCAGGGTTAGCAGTGGGGTGGGACTGTGGGGGTGGTATCCTCCTCACTTAAGGATCTTTGTGATGGTCTGTTACTTTATCTCTTCCGCAGTCTTTACCATCATCACTTTCATTCCCATAAAGGATAAATTCTGTTTCATTCTGCCACTTAGTCTTATATCAGTCTCTCCTTACACAAATCTCTTTGTCTTTATGGAAAGAGTTGGCCCCATTGACTCACTGCACATTTGCTTTATGCCATAACGAAGTCTGTTTTTGCTTAGTTTTTTTTTTTTTAAATAATGGCTTTTTTCCTATAACTTTAAACTCTTTTTAATCTTCCAAACTGATATATCTGTGCCTTATTTTGATTAATTAGTGAGCTGCTTAGTATTTAATAGGATCCTTTTCTGTTTCATGTGCAGGTGCCATCTTCAAACAGTTCCATTATTTATGTCTGGTGCACAGTTTTGACTTTAGAACCCAACTCTCAAGTGCAACAACGAATGGTGAGTGCTTTCCCAATCCTAAAATATGGTATATGACTCTGACCTTTCCTGTTCTGAAATAAATTAAGGTCAGAGTGACCCAGGGAAGAGATTTATTACAAGTTTGTTTCAGCATCAAACAGCTGGAATACTGCAACAAAGCAAATATGAAAGTTGTTCTGTCCTTTTATTTTTATAGATTGTGTTCAGCCCTCTTTTTATCATGAGGAGTCATCTTCCAGACCCCATTATCATACATTTGGAGAAAAGGAGTCTGGGATTGAGTGAAACACAAATTATTCCAGGAAAAGGGCAGGAAAAAACACTGCAAAACATAGAACCTGACCTCGTACATCACCTGACATTCCAAGCAAGGTACTAGAAAAGTCCTTCCATACATTTTCCTAAGAGAAATTAAGTAGAAAAGTAACCTTGCACTGAGGAGACGGCAGGGGGGTGGGAGGATGGGGGTGGTGGGAGTTTTCTATATGATTTCTTATCATATGAGAATGTTATTTTAAAATGCCCTGCCTAGTGATCTCTTATTCTCATCTATAGTTTTAGATAAAAATCAGCCTTTCTCATTAAGCTTAGAAATAACCAAGAGGGATCATCAGAAATTTTATTTTAATTTAGATTTCATTGACACGTGATTTCTGTAGTAAAGGAGATGTGAATAGAGATCTACACCTAGGAATTGAGGGGTGGGGAAGAAAGAGGAAAAGTCAGGGCCCAGTTCATCCAAATGCTGTCCCATAAATGGACTCAATCTACCAAAAAGGTGTTTGTCTCTAATACATTTATAGTTAAATATTTTTCAATAAATTGTAGACCACTTTAGAAATCTGGTATTTATGCTTGTTTCTTCTTTCAATTTCCTAGAGAAGAATATGATCCTTCAGATTGTGCGGTTCCCATCTCAACATCCCTCATTAAGCAAATAGCCACTAAGGTATACCCTGAAGGCACAGTTAATCAGATCCTTGATGAATTTTATGGGCCAGAAAAGTCACTTCAACCCATCTGGCCCTATAATAAGAAGGATTCTGAAAGGTAACATTCTTCAACCATCTTTTTCTACAAAAATGTCTCAATAGTAACAAATGATCATTCACAAAAATGCTAAATACCAAAAGTGGTGTGTGCATGTGTCTGTCAGATTCTTACCTTTTATCATCTGGTAGGTGTATTTTGTAGATTTCTTTACTCATGATCTAGAACATAATTATATGAAAAGTTGCTTTCTCCTGCATGCAAATTCAGCATTGAAAGATTCTGATATGAAGAGGTATCATGCAGGAACGTTGTGTGTCTGGAATCTTTAAACATATTTTGCAAATATTAAAGTTATCATATTTCATTGAGTTTCTTGGATGTGGTATTTGGAACAGGAATGAACAGCTAAGTCAGTGGGATAGCCCAATGCGAGTGAAGCTGTCAGTCTGGAAGCCATATGTTAGAACCTTGTTGATAGAACTTCTGCCCTGGGCCCTGCTTATCAATCAGTCCAAATGGGACCTCTGGCTATTTGAAGGAGAGAAGATTGTTCTACAGGTTCCTGCTGGCAAAATTATTATTCCTCCTAATTTTCAGGTACTATAACTTTTTTAACTAATATGAATTCTTTTCTCTCAACAAGTAGATTTTATTGTAAAGTTGTGTTTATAATCTTAACAGAATGAATCAGTTGTGAAAAATTCTTCTTAGATGCATATGTAAGAGGTATGGAATGTTCTTTGATAATCAAGGACTTTTCTGATGTCTTTTTTTTTTTCTTTTACCATCAACACTATTGGTGCTTGAGTTACCATTAAATTTGATAACTTACATTAGCTACATTCTCATTTCCATTGTGTATAGGACATTTGATAAGTATTAGGGCTGGTCTATCAGTATGTATTAAGGAAATAGAGCCATCGTGTGTGCTTATCCATACCCTAGGTATTCTTTGCTGTTCTTCTTGAAGTTCTCTGCAGTCTGCAAGATATTGAGGGTTTCAGAGCAACTGTTTTTGTCAGGGTCCCTTTTCCTTTACAAGTGGACCTGGATGTTCATAATTATGGCTGTCTACCCAGTTGTTTATTATAAAAACGTGGAATGATTACTGACACAGAGAGAAATCTAATTACAAACCAGAATATCACAGGAAGATTTATATTCTGTAACAAAATCATCTTTAGAAGGCTAGTCTGTTTCAAGAAGACACACAAATCTATTAAAAAATAGAGTTAAAAAGAACTCCTAAATAAAATGTTTTTCTGATACAGAACAATTTCAGAATCCTTTTTTGAGCTCCACATCATAAACATCTTTATTCAATTGCATTTTCCTTTTTTTAAATAAAATAATCAGATGATGTTACCTTATGGAATTGGAATGTTGACCAATATGGACCTAATGTTGCATATTATTCTCTTGTCAAATGAGATGAAACCTTCCGTTTTTAAAGGCATTGGTATTTACAGCGTGGTCATTGTTTGAGTTTGGTTTTCCCCTCCCTTCCGTAAATATGAATTCTGTTGTGAATCAAAAAAAATACATTGGGAACCAAAATAAAATGTATGTTGCCATTACAAAAAAAAAAAAAGAAACGCGCGCGCACGCGCGCGCACACACACACACACACACACACACACACACACACACACACAAACAAATGGAGGGATATTTGGTTGCTTTAGTAGACCTATTATATAATATTTAAAAAATTCCTGGCCGGGCGCAGTGGCTTACGCTTGTAATCCCAGCACCTTGGGAGGCCGAGGCAGGTGGATCACGAGGTCAAGAGATCGAGACCATCCTGGTCAACATGGTGAAACCCCGTCTCTACTAAAACTACAAAACATTAGCTGGGCATAGTGGTGCGTGCCTGTAATCCCAGCTACTCAGGAGGCTGTGAGGCAGGAGAATTGCCTGAACCCAGGAGGCAGAGGTTGCGGGGGGCCGAGACCCCGCCCATGCTCCCCACCCCCGGGAAAAAAAGGACAAACCCCCCTCAAAAAAAAAAAAAAAAAAAAAAAATTCCTGAGATTTGAAGTAAAAAATATCAAAGTTAAGAAAATTACTTTATAATTGAGATATTATTTTTCCAGGAAGCTTTTCAAATTGGAATATACTGGGCAAATACGAACACTGTGCACAAGTCAGTAGCAATTAAACTGGTCCATAACCTGACATCTCCAAAGTGGAAAGATGGAGGTAATGGTGAAGTAGTGACATTGGATGAAGAAGGGTTTGTTGATGCTGAAATAAGACTTGGTGCTTTTCCAGGACATCAGAAGGTAAGATCAAAGTCTGTGCGTCTGGGAGGAAATAGTGTGCCATCCCCTTAACATGTTTAAAAAGAATCTGCCTTTTTCTTTTTAATACCTTTTTCATATTACTTGTTCTAAACAATTTATAACAGTAAAACATTTGATTTCTTAACTTCTTAGACCTCTCTGTTTTACAGTGCTTTTTTTCCTTCACCAGTGATAAAAGCTGTGTCACATAATTTATCCAATAATTGTTCTATTTCAGAACACTCAGCAGTCACTTGATTTATAGTTCATGGGGAGAAAATGAACTTACTCCTGAATATCCACAAATTGTACTTGGCCTCCTCCTTTAGAGCAGGAAGTAGAGTCACTAACATTCTGAGCATAGAGTGAAAGGACAAAGGCTCCTCCTGCAGCAAAGGTTATGTTTCTGGAAAGGACATCCTGAGCAAAATTATGTTCTCCCCTAATTCTAATTCTCGTTATGTTCTCCCAAAATTCTAATTCTTCCCTAGAACCACTGTTGTAAGAAGGAGTTGTATTCTTCAATAGTGGACCGGTACCCATGTTTTTAGAGATGGATACAAAAAGCATAATAAGTCATTTAAATATAAATGGTATGTGCTTTTCAATATAAATCTAAAGTCTATGAAAACCAATTAGCTGAATAATATAACTAACCACATTATATATTAAAGTACAATATCATAGTGTGCCATGTGGCAGTTTTTTGCTATACTTCTAATGTCTTCATTATGTAGCTGTCCCAAATTAGAAAAAGCAGGGATACTGCATCAGCGTAGTAGAATTCAGAATGACCTTTTTCGGGAGAGAAGTTAGATTTTTGACAGGTGTCTTTGAAAAGTCTTTTGAGAAAAGTTAGGGTCATTTGATGACTTTTAAAAAAATTAATTTCCTTGATAGAAAGAAATTGGTCTTTCTTCAGCATTCAAGACTGGTATCCATTTCCTCAAAGTTGTCTGGGCAACACATGTTTATGCTCTGACGGCCAAAGTACTGTAACATGGGTGTAAATGGCAAAGAGCTGTAAGCATGAATCACCCAAAGTTGAATAGTTGTAAGTTGAGAACTACCATCAAAATCTGGAAAAAATGTTATAATAGTCAGTCAACACCCAATACCTCTAGCACCTAACAAAGTGGCCACAGCAAGTGTTGAATAACTGTTTGTGAATCAATGAATGAACTGCTGGAAAATATATTGATGTCTCATTATGCTTTGGTGGTGACTCAGGACCCCTTTATACTCTTAAAAATTATTGAGAATCCCCAAAGGCCTTTTGTTTCTGTGGGTTGTATCAATATTTACCAGGTTCAAAATTTAAACAGAAATTTTTAAAACACACGAATACAAACATATATTCCATCAGCTATCAAGACTAATAATATCACACATCATATTGCCTCTGGAAAACTCCACTCTATATGCATGAGAGAATTCAAGTCTAAAAGATTGATAGCATCTTACTATTATTACAAAAGTAGTTTTGACCGTGGGACCCCATGCCCAGAGATTCCCTGTGGGTCTCCAGACCACCTTTTGAAAAACCAATGCTCTGATATTATTACTCACTGGATGGGTGTGTTTAAGCAGAAAACATCTTCTCTGAGCACTGTTCTTTACATAACATGGTAAGTTAATGAACTGGTACATGTAGTTGTTAAGAGCAGCACCACAGAGCCAGACTGCTTGGGTTCCAACCCCCTAGTTAGACCCTCTTCATGTTTGTGACCTTAGGCAAGTTGCTTAACCTTTTTGTGCCTCACTTTCCTCTTCTGTAAAATGGGGATGATAGTAACTCCCCTATGTAGATACTGTGAGGAATTTGTGAGTTAATATGTATAAAGTACTTGAAACTAGTGGAACACAATATTGCAATATATGAAGGTCAGTCCTGACTGTCTTGTCATTGTCATTACTGAAGTTCTCAGAACTCTCCTTGGTTCATCACAGACATTAGTAAGGTGGCTGCTGGGAGAGCATGAGGAGGAGGAGGGAGGCTGGGTGGAATTCTGCCGAGTAAGATGAGTGACATTTATTTACATACACATGCTTTCTAAATGAACACTTTGTGAGGTTATTGGTAAACTAAGCTGAAAACAAGTCGTCATCTGTCACCAGCTGCAAAGTAATGGGGTTGCTAAAGCACCCTGTTGTAGGGTAAATACTGACAGGGGCCGGAACATTTCTGAGACTGAAAGGTACACCATTAAATACTCTGGGGAAAAAAAAGGTAAAATTGGTACTGTCCTGGGCAGACAAATAGATAAAATAACCTTTTAGGAATACTCAAGAGATTTTGATATGCCTTACGGTATTGTCAAAATTACATTTTTCTCATTTATCTTGTAGTTCTGTCAGTTCTGCATTTCCTCCATGGTACAGCAAGGTATACAAATTATTCAGATTGAAGACAAGACTACAATAATCAATAATACCCCATATCAAATATTTTATAAACCACAGCTATCTGTCTCCAATCCCCAGTCTGGAAAGGAGGTAAGCAAATCATAACATGATTCTTTTGTCTAAGTTTTGATAAAGAAACAATAAATAGGATCAACTTCTCTTTAACCTACAGCAGATAAAAAGCCAACCCTGAATGTAGGTAAAGAGAAATTCACTTATTTTTGTTATAATTAAAACCACGAATGTCATGGTCACTGCTTCCATGGTAATTAATGAGCAGAAATGCTACCAAGCAGCAGGCCCTGACACACTGCTGGATTAATCCTGCCTGTGCCCCATCTGCTCAGAGGCTCCAGCCCAGTCCTCTAGCATGCTCACTAGACTCTCACAAGCAGAGACATTGTCCTGAGGACTGGCTCCTGGGTCACATGGAAAAGCACATCTGCCTTACAGGCTGCAGTGCCTGGGGAAGCCATGCAAGCAAAAGGCTATGACCTAACTGAGCTGTGGATCTGCTGGTGGTAAGCTCTGTGGTTATGAGGAGAATAATGTGGAAATATACCAGCTCATTTATGTTAAGATCTTGATGGCAGAATATGTGGAAAATAAATCTAAGAATGTTCAGTTCTTTGTACAATTAAAATGAATCGTTACATTTTAAGAGAGTAAGGGGAGATTTCTTTTCTTTCCATTGCATCTTAGGTATTTTTCTTTTTTATTACTATTATACTTTAAATTCTGGGATACATGTGCAAAATGTGCAAGTTTGTTACATAGGTATACATGTGCCATGGTGGTTTGCTGCACCCATCAATCCATCACCTACATTAGGTATTTCTTCTAATGCTATATCCCCCCACCCCCGACTCCCCGACAGGCCCCAGTGTGTGATGTTCCCCACCCTGTGCCCATGTGTTCTCATTGTTCAACTTCCACTTATGAGTAAGAACATGCGGTATTTGGTTTTCTGTTCCTGTGTTAGTTTGCTGAGAATGATGGTTTCCAGCTTCATCCATGTCCCTGTAAAAGACATGAACTCATTCTTCTTTATGGCTACATAATATTCCATGGTGTCTATGTGCCACATTTTCTTTATCCAGTCTATCATTGATGGGCATTTGGGTTGGGTTCCAAGTCTTTCCTGTCATGAATAGTGCTGCAATAAACATACATGTTCATGTGTCTTTATAGTAGAATGATTTATAATCCTTTGGGTATATGCCCAGTAATGGGATTGCTGGGTCAAATGGTATTACTAGTTCTAGATCCTTGAGGAATCGCCACACTGTCTTCCACAATGGTTAAAATAATTTTCACTCCCACCAACAGTGTAAAAGCATTCCTGTTTCTCCACATCCTCTCCAGCATCTATTGTTTCCTGACTTT